ATATATAAATATATATGCATATATATATATATTATAATAAGTGACATACTCCTTTTCGGCAGCAGCGGCCTCTTCAGCTTGTTTCACCGCTTTGACTTCGTCCAGCACGGCCTGCAGTCTCGTCCTCTCTTCCTCGTGATCGTAAAGGTCCTGTTTCAGCTGCACAATGGTATCGGCCACCTTTTTCTTTGCGTCTGCTACCTCGCTGATCATGATCAGCTTCATTTGATAGCCCTGATTCGTTCGGGTTAGGTAATATGATACATGTTACATGAGAATAGCCACGCTTAGCTCGCCGTGTCGGCCTTGGGCGACGATAGTACATCCGATTGACCAGGTTTAGACGCTCTGAGGGGAGTAGAGGCAAATACGAATGCCTTTCATGTAATCTAGGAATACAGTCAATGTATGGGCTTTGCCTATGCCCCAGGTAGCTTTGGTAACTCCATCTTACGTTCACTCGGTTAGCATTTAACTTCATACTTGCGGTAATGAGATGCAGACGAGAACTGTAGAGTGCCGTGGCTATCCGGGATCAATCAGCAATTTATGAGGGTAACCCATCATGTGATAATGTAGTAATAATCTATGTGATGATTTCGCTGGATGATACGCACACAAAATATTTGCATTTGCTTTCGGGATAATTGCTAGAGAAAAGGCTCTACACCCAGTGTTATAACAATTGCAACTCAATGCCACATAGGCGAGAGTTTAGAGAGGAACCAAACCCCTCCCGAATTTTCCAGTTGAGGTTTACACACAGATTCATCGCCAACACCGCTTAAACCGCTTTGACTGGACATCGTGTACAACTTCAGGGAAGGCCCACATTCCACTTACGCCAGTAATATGGTAGTATGTAGAGCTGAATCAGTAGACAAACCTATATACAGCCCATATGATGGTTATCCACCAACACACGTGTAAACATGCATGCATAAACGTCCACTTGACAACAACAACATGTATGCGACGCAGGACTAGTGGGTCCTGGCAGAGTGTCAAACACTGGCGTAAGACTAATGTATCTACAGCCATGGCAACCAAGTAAATGCTATGAACTCACGCACCATGTGCTTTGCTTTGGCCCCCATGATCGCCATATGTATACGTATGCACATATACAAACGCTTTGAGGAATGAGCCACCGCCAGCATTCACATACCATGTGCTGCGCTTTGGCCCCCATGATCGCCATATGTATACGCATGCACATACACATACGCTTTGAGGAATGAGCTACAGCCAGCATTCACATACCATGTGCTGTACTTTGGCCACCCGTTCCGCCTCCGCTCGGGCCACTTGGCCAATTTTATCGCAGATATCTTCGCACCCACTCGCCTCGTCTGAGCCGTCACAGCAGTCTAATGCGCCACAGCGAGAGAGTAGAGGGTGCGCATGTGTGTGGCGGGGGAGGGGGTGTACAGACCCGTTTAAGGGAAGAGGATACATGCGCGGATAGATACATTGCACAAGAGTGTGGCTGCGAATAGGCAAACCCTAAACCCTAAAACCCTAACCCCAACCAGCAGCCTGGCATGCCAAGGGGGCGTGTGGCGTGGACACACAAAGGGGAGGAATGGTACATGCGTGGTTTATGTGCAGGAGGGTTCGTGTTTGTGAGACTTATTGTGTTCACAGTGGTCTACTACGCCATAGGCGGCACAGATCTTATCGGGCTAGGGCTAGAGGGTAGGTGTGTGAAGACGCGACTGTAACGTGTGCCTTGGTGCTAGACATAACAGGGTGAACAATCATGGGAAATGGCCATATAATAGAGCCTGCGATGACCATAACTCAGATGAAAAGACTCGGTATGAGTAAGTGGATACGGGAGGTCTCCTGAAGGAGAGCGCAAAACAACAGACGCTCTATCTCCCACGTCGCTTGGAGAATCCAAAAGATAGAACACATGTGCCTGCGATTAGTTTGCAATCGACACGGACAGCTGGTCACGTGCTGATGCGGAGGTCAGAGGCAGACCAACATTGTACTGGCCTAAGCAGCAAATAAGAGCGACTGTTCACAACATTTGCACAGACATCTGTTGAAAACCTAAGAATACAAGGAGTCTTGAATGCTGTTGCTGACAGCAAATACCACATACAACAACATATGATAAAAACATTGACAGCAAATACCACATATAACAACGTATGTTAAAAACATTGACAGCAACTACCACATATAACAACATATGTTAAATACATTGACAGCAACTACCACATATAACTACATATGTTAAAAACATTGACAACAACTACCACATATAACAACATATGTTAAAAACATTCGAATATACGGAGCCTTGCATCCTGCTGCGGACGGCAGTCGCCACATACCACAGATGCCATCGTGCACGCGGTTGGAGGGGATGACCATTGGTTTGTGTAGAGTGTTCTCGCAGTAGAACGTTCCCGTCGCACACGCCGATGTACCTGTCAGGGCAACAGATAGACTGTGTCTTGAGCGCTACGAACTACACCGTGACATGTCTGTTCTATTATATGCGCAAACGGTACGACTGCGGTGATTGGATCTAGTATGTGCGATGCATTTCCTAGCTAGTTATACAGTCCATGGAACCGAACATCTGGTACCAGGTATGCGGATTGTGCTGTAGATCTGGCTAGATTAGGATATACCACAAGAATGCGACCTACCCGAAAAACAATAAAAAATAAAAAACACATTGGAACGAATGTCGATCCGATTAGTTTACAGTTCAGTCCCAATTGGTACTGCACTCACGTGTGTACTACAGATTACGGTGAAAGTTTTTGTTTAGTCGAAGGCACTACAAACTGTACTCACACCACCTACTATCGCGAGAGGTACTACTTGTGACGACGCAAAGCTACCAGTACACCCGACATGTTCTCTGCAAGCACAATATAAGGACGAGCAAGCGAAGTCATCACACAGACAGTACCTCTGAAAGTCAATCAGTAGCTCACTACCATCTCATGAACCGATGGTGCGACAAATACAGCAGATGTAACTGGTACGGTATAATCTACTCAACTACATTTACTTGACACTCCCACCAAAGCAAACAACAGCTCAAGTAAAACTATCCTCAGATGAATGGATGTAGAGAATAGAGATGTTTCTGGACCCACCTCAAAGCAAGCGTACAGCTCACAAGCCTACAACACACCACCGCCACGACTACGCAAGATACGGAGAGCATCCGCAACAACCTTCTCCATATAACTATAAAGTGCTATACCACTATCTCCACATAACTATGTAGTGACAAACACTATCACCAAATAACTATGTAGTGATCAACACCACCAATCACTATACCAGGTTCGTCCGTGCCATCTTCGCAATCACAGTAGTCATCGTTTACTTGTGCTGAGGGAATGATCAGCTTTCCGCCGTCACACGTGAACGATGCGTCACCATAGCGTTTATCTGTCAGTGGTTACCGCAGGTGTGTTAGTGTGTGAGGTCTCGGTGGGTATGAATTCACAGGCTAGTGCGATAGAATATATCGTCTAGTAGAGAGTCTACCGTGGGCACGTGGCTTTGTGAGGCTGGTGAGGTCAGGAATGTGTAAACTAGTGAGAAGGAAGGTCTTCTCTTTGGTTTCGCACCGGATTAAAAAACGGACGGAAATTAGATGATATCAATTATTTATGGAAGTCTGACTCTCTGGCTATTACAAGCTGTATGCTATTTTTAAAGTGTACGTGAACAAATATTCTATATACTCAATATCTACACAATTTGAAAAGTAGGCACATCAATATGTTCATATATATATATATATATATATATAATATATATATATATATATATATATATATATATATATATATATATATATATATAAAAACATACATACATATATATATATATATATAT